TGTAAACAAGATGTGTGTGTATATACCCTGTTGTGATGAACATGGGTGTGCACATACCTGTGCCCTGGCTCTTATTTCTCTAGGATATATACCTAGTAGTGCAATTGCTGGATCAAATGGTATTTCTATTTCCAATTTTTGAAGGAAGTACCATATTGTTTTCCATAGCAGTTGTACCAATTTACAGTTCCACCAGCAGTGTAAGAGTTCCACTCTCTCCACACCTTCACCAGCATATGTTATTTTCTTTTTGGACTTTGCTATTATGGCTTGGATTAAATAGTATCTCATTGCTTTGATTGCACCTCTGTATCAGACTAAAGTGACTAAAGATCGTGTTTGTTGATCATGAATGTCTTCTTTCATGAAGTGTCTGTTCATGGTCTCTGCTCATTTTTTTGTGTTGTCTTTCTCTTGTTGAGGTGCTGAATTTTCTATAAATTTTAGACATTAGTCCTTTGTCAGGTATGTCATTGCCAAAAATTATTTTCTAGTCTGTAGGCTCTCTTTTTACTCTTTTGGAGTAGTCCTTTGATGTGCATAAATATTTTCAGGAGGTCCAAGTTATCCACTTTGTCTTTTTCTGTTTATGCCTTTTTTGTTATGTCTGATAGGGGTTTTATGCCATAAATTAGGGCCCATAAGTTTGCCCCTACTTTTTCTTTGATGATATTTATAGTTTTATGTTTTATATTTAGGTCTTTAATCCATCCTGAGTTAGTTTTTGTATATGATGTAAGGTATGAATCTTGTTCCATTTTTCTGCACACAGATAGCCAGTTTTGCCAGCACCATTTGTTTAAAAAGACTGTCTCTTCCCCATCTAACGGATTTCAGGTCTTTGCCAAAGATCAGCTATCCATAGATGGGTGGATTACTTTTGGGTTCTCAGTTCTGTTCCATCGGTCTATGTGTCTGTCATTGGACCAGTACCAGGTGGTTTTTACTACCATGTCTATAGAGTAGGTTTTGAAATGGGGGAGTGTGAGGCTTCCTACTTTGTTCCTGTTCAGTAGTACTCTGCTTATCCAAGGTCTCCTTCCTTTCCACATAAAGTTGGTGATTGGTTTCTAAGAATGTTAATGGAATCTGGATCAGGATTGCGTTATATCTATAGATCCCTTTGGGTAGTGACATTTTTTACAATGTCAGGTCTTCCTATCCATGAGCACGTTCTTCCATTTATGTGGGTGTAGTCTCTTTTTGTTTCTTGCAATACTGTTTTGTTTCCTTTGTGTAAGTCTTTTGTGTCTTTTGTTAGTTTTATTCCTAAGTACATCTTTTTGGTAGCTACTGTAAATTGTATTGTTTCCCTTATCTCCTTTACAGGGTTCTCTTTGTTGATGAAGAGGACTCCGGCTGACTTTTGTGTGTTGATCTTGCACCCTGCCACTTTGCTGAATCACTTCTATTAGTTCTACTACTTTTCTTGCGGGGTCTTTGGGATTTTCATGTATAAGATCATAGAATCTGAAAATAGGGATAGTTTACTTATTTTGATGCCTTTTATCTCCCTTTCATGACTTATTGCTCTGCCTAGGTCTTCCAATACCATATTGAACAGGAGTGGTGACAGAGGGCATCCTTGTCTGGTTTCTGTTCACCA